GGGGTAGAGCAGCGGGGAAACCACCACCGTAGCCCAGCCCGCCGCGCCAGTGCGAGCGAGCGAACGAACGAACGAAAAGAAGGAACAACCGCGCCGCGCTCCTCGTCCTTCTCCCCTCCTCTCCTCTCTCCTCTCTCTCCTCGCCAGCAGCCAGCCAGCAGTCAGTCAGTCGGCGCTGTGTGACCCCGTGCCGCGCGAGGATTGTGTCTGCTATGCAAGATTAGACCTGGGATGTGCCCGCCGTCCAGATTCCATTGTTAGCTCAAGCACAGTCGACGCAGGGCCGGCCATAGTGCGCCGCGACACAGAGAGACAGGGAGAGTCCCAGAGAGGCTACATCTGCGAAAACCCCGAGCCGCGGGCTCGTTCTAGTCAGGAAATTACACACAGGAAATCATACAGCAGACTCACAGAAGATAGAAACACGGAATAGTGGTAGGACTCATACAAAAAGTACTCGTTCTATCTAGCGTGGAAGTTGTTTTCATCACCTTTCTTGTATTTCAAGAAAAAGCAGAAAAGTTCTCGGAGTATCTGCTGCAGTCTGGATTGTACTCTCTGTGCTTTTGCTGGATTTTCCCCTTCGTACCTCACTACAGTCAGCAGTACACGGTGTGTGAAAGGAATTTTGTGTCATTCCTATTGGATTAACGTGTGTCGTACGGTACCTTTTCCCGCGTGCCGGCCTCCAGGTCTGGGGCCTTCTTCTCCCGCGCGTAAAGTACAAGTGCTATTTAGTAGTCCTGGCCTCTCCTCTTGCTCGCTCTCTGAGTGAACTTAGGGTCAAGAGGGCGGCAAGGAAAAGTGCCCTTTATTTACCTAGACCGGCCTTTTGCTATTGCTTGCTCTAGGTTCAAGATTTAGTAGTAGGTCTAAGGACTTGCCATATTATCTTACAGTTACGCATATCTGCTGGCAGTAAAAGCAAGCTCTGTGTAGCTTTGTTATCCTCTTTGTGTGTGTGTGTGTGTGTGTGTGTGCGTGTGTGTGTGTGCGTGTGTGTGTGTGTGTGTGTGTGTGCGTGCGTGTGTGTGTGTGTGTGTGTGTGTGCACGCGGGCGCATGTGGGTGTGTTTGTATTTGTGCGTGCGCACGTGCAGCATGCCCTCACCGTCTCACTGTCTAGGGTAGTAGACGAATAGCCAAAGAGGCGATCACACTTAAGCACCTAAATTCAAGATTTTCGCGCAGCAAACTCTCCTAGTCGAGATAGATCTAGATCTAGATCTAGATCTAGATTAGGTAAGATTCCGAATTCCACTGTTCAGACAAGTGGGCAAACGTAAGACGTAGGTAAACCCACGTACGCCTAGAAGAACCGCTAGTCTCAGGCTTGATCTGGCGTAGTGCTTAAGTTTCCCTTCACTTTGTCCGTCTGGCTGGGACTGGGGGGACTTAAGAGTAGGCCGAACGTACAGCATGACACAGCCCATAACTTAGAGGTGACCATTCCTGACTTCAGAGACAGGCCTGACACTAGACATCTATTTCTCTGTCTCTCTCACTCTCACTGTGTCTCCTTCCTTCACTCGAGACTCTAGTAAAATAGTCCTGTACTGTAGACCTTATGGTGTGGAGGTCGCCTGTCGCCCTGTGTGCTTTCTTCGCTGTCGCTAACACTAGACTAACAGTCGTCTATCTTTCCAGATATCTATTTAGATCTAGATCTAGATCTTGGCTTCGGTTTCTAATTTCTAGATCAGGGTCGGCAACGTGTTGTTTCAGCCTTTGTCTGTTCCACCTGCTTGCACGTCGCCGCTACACCTTGGTCTCTATCTAGTTAGATAATCTAGAGTACAGCAGGGCAGTAGGCCTACGTGTGTGTGCGTGCGTGTGCGTGCGTTTGTGCGTTCAGGCGACACATTTTGTCAACACATATCGTGTCCTCTCCGTGTGCGATAAGCTACACACGCGCGGAACGAGCCCGCTAGAGATCTATAACTCGCTAGCCCGTTAGCCTACACCAGAGAGCCTACACTACAGCCGTGGTGTGGAGAGAGAAGAGAAGAGAAAATCCGCGAGCCATCTGTCGACTCAAATCGTCCTGAAACGTGCCTCAAGCACACCTATCTTTATTCTATTTCCCTCTCCGAGGTTTCACCCTCGAAACTGACTGTCTCCGAGTTGAATATTCTGTAGAAAGATCCGATAGGTCAAGAAATAGATCAAACAAATAATCGGTTGTTCTGAAAATAGACCAGATAAACAAAGCTTCCGGAGATATATTCGAAGAGGACTGTTCTCTTTTTTTTTTCTAAAAAAAAACCGCGCGCGTATCAATTTCTTACTAGCTCTAAGGTTTCACAGATTTTTGTTGCAGTCTACGTTATAAAATTCTATATTATATTTCATGGTAGAAGAATCCGTAGATCATTCCGATTAGTTTATTGAAATTAAATAGGTCACGTATTTTGTTAAAATTGGACTACTAAGTATCACCTTTCATGTGTTTGTTCAGCAGCTGCCCTTTGGAGTATTGTAAACCTCGCAGTGAAAGGATCCCCTAGTGGTTGACTACGTTGTTACGTCATCCAGCATTTCCATCATGAGGAGTAACTACGTGCTGTTAGCACTCACCCTGACCTTGACCTGTGTGGTCCTCGGGGTCAGGGGTCAGCAAGGCCCTGAACCCGTGGGGGTCAACTGGGGTGTGACGGACAGTACGGCCATCGTGGGTCGGATGTTCCGGCTGCACATCCCGAGTGACGCCTTCAGTGGGACTGTGGACGGATATGAGGTGAGTGGTCCGGTGGTTTGGTGGTTTGGGGAGGGCGAGGGGTGGG